TCCCTAGTTGCTCTGTGCTTTCCAGCTAAGTTTACCATTTTCCTTCTCCTTCCCAGTTTTAGATTTTGCCTGAGATTATTTTTTAGCCAGCTCAGAAATTGACCATTGCACTTCTCTGTTCCAGTCTTTGAATTTTGCCCGAGACTCAGCCGTGATGGTGCCACCAAGCCACTGAGTTTCTCTCTCCCATATTCTTTCTTTCACTTTCCTGACTGCAGGATCAGGAGCAACCCCAGCAGCAAATGCCTCCCCGCCCGCACTGGCAGCACCAACCAGTCCCCCCACACCGCCCCACTCCCCCCCTTCCCCCAGACGCCCCTATGTACCCCCTAGACGCGCCCCCGCTCCCCCCCCATCCCCCCCCCGCGGCTGCCCCTGCAGCAGTGCCTGGGGGTGGGGGGGGCTACATGGAAGGCCCGTCAGGGGGACCCTTGAGGGGAATGGGGCGGGGGGCGAGAGGGGGGGAGATGAGGGGAGGGGAGATGAGGGGAGGGGAGATGAGGGGAGGGGAGATGGGGGGGATGGGGGGTGGGGGGATGAGAGGGATGGGGGGCGGGCCTGGGTATGGGCCAGGGGGAGGGGGAGGGGGAGGAGGTGGGGGAGGGTATGGAAGGGGAGGGATGCCAGAACCGCCACTGCCATCGCCAGCTGCTGCTCCTGCTGCACCTGAGGTGGGTATTCAGTTGGAAAGAGAAATGAGTTGGTTAATAGAGTGATTGAGGAGTGTGATTGAGGAGTGTGATTGAGGAGTGGGAAGGTTGGTAAGTATCATTATTGTTTAGGAGGGGAGGAAGTGGGGGAGGGTATGGAAGGGGAGGGATGCCAGAGCCGCCACTGCCATCGCCAGCAGCCACTCCTGCTGCACCTGAGGTGAGTGTTGCAGATTTTGATAGGTTTGGGTTGGGGAGCTTATGGAGTGGAGAGGTCGGTAAGGATTGTGATGGTTTCGGGAGGAGGGGGAGGAGGGGGAGGAGGGGGTGGAGGGTATGGAAGGGAGGGGATGCCTAAGCTGCCACTGCCATCACCAGTTCCTGCTGCTGCTCCTGAGGTGGGTATTGCAGATAGTGAGAGTGGGATGGATCAGGGAGTGAGAGTGCTGTTTGGGTTTTTTGAAGGAGATGGGGGAGGGTATGGAAGGGGGGGGATGCCAGAGCTGCCACTGCCATCACCAGCTGCTGCTCCTGCTGCACCTGAGGTGAGTGTTGCAGATGTTGATATGGAGTGGAGAGGCTGGTAGGGATTGTGATTGTTTTGGGAGGTGGGAGAGGGTATGGAAGGGGAGGGATGCCAGAGCTGCCACTGCCATCACCAGCTGCTGCTCCTGCTGCACCTGAGGTGAGTGTTGCAGATGTTGATATGGAGTGGAGAGGCTGGTAGGGATTGTGATTGTTTTGGGAGGTGGGAGAGGGTATGGAAGGGGAGGGATGCCAGAGCTGCCACTGCCATCACCAGCTGCTGCTCCTGCTGCACCTGAGGTGAGTGTTGCAGATGTTGATATGGAGTGGAGAGGCTGGTAGGGATTGTGATTGTTTTGGGAGGTGGGAGAGGGTATGGAAGGGGAGGGATGCCAGAGCTGCCACTGCCATCACCAGCTGCTGCTCCTGCTGCACCTGAGGTGAGTGTTGCAGATGTTGATATGGAGTGGAGAGGCTGGTAGGGATTGTGATTGTTTTGGGAGGTGGGAGAGGGTATGGAAGGGGAGGGATGCCAGAGCTGTCACTGCCATCACCAGCTGCTGCTCCTGCTGCACCTGAGGTGAGTGTTGCAGATGTTGATATGGAGTGGAGAGGCTGGTAGGGATTGTGATTGTTTTGGGAGGTGGGGGAGGGTATGGAAGGGGAGGGATGCCAGAGCTGCCACTGCCATCACCAGCAGCCGCTCCTGCTGCACCTGAGGTGAGGCTTAATTGGAAGGTTGACCACATGTGACTATGGACGTTTTTGAGGTCGTTTTTGAGGCGCCTCATAAACGACCTCAATGCTCCTGAGGTGAGGCTTAATTGGAAGGTTGACTATGGACGTTTTTTACTTGGTCGACTCAAAAGTCACCTCTAAATTTAATTGGAAGGTTGACTATGGACGTTTTTTACTTGAGTCGACTCAAAAGTCACCTCTAAACTTAATTGGAAGGTTGACTATGGACGTTTTTGTTTCTCCCAAGCAGGTCACATGTGTCAGCCTGTATTACGTGCAGGTCACATGTGTCAGCCTGTACTACGTGCAGGTCACATGTGTCAGCCTGTATTACGTGCAGGTCACATGTGTCAGCCTGTACTACGTGCAGGTCACATGTGTCAGCCTGTACTACGTGCAGATCACATGTGTCAGCCTGTATTACGTGCAGCAACAGAAAGCCCTCCTCCTGGCTCAGGTGAAGAGCCTAACACGCTCCGTCTCTCAATCTTCCCCTTTCCTCTCTCTTCCCCTGTCCTCTCTCCACAGCCGGTATTGGACGTGGAGCAACAGAAGGCCCTCCTGGCTCAGGTGATGAGCCTAACACCTGAGCAGGTGAACGCGCTCCCACCTGACCAACGCGCCCAGGTGCTGCAGCTGCAGCAGGCGCTGGGCAGGTGAAAACCTTGGCGTCGAGCCTCCACCTGGGCAGATGAAAAGATTGTGATTTGGGCAGATGAAAAGATTGTGATTTGGTCAGATGTGTACCTCCTGTTTTGACTTACCACAAGTTCAAGCAGAGCTAATGAGGAGTTCAAGCAGAGCTAATGAGGAGTTCAAGCAGAGCTAATGAGGAGTTCAAGCAGAGCTAATGAGGAGTTCAAGCAGAGCTAATGAGGGGAAAGCCCCTTAGTTCATCCATCCCTTCATCTGCCTTGGCATCAGAAAGTATCTTAGAGGGTGCATTGAAAGGGAGAAGCTCAAATCTGGTAGCGAGTGGAGCATGTTGCAGTATAGTACGGAACAGGAGGGCTGTCATTAGCATGGTGCATGCGTCGTGTTGCCTTGCAGTGTAGCATGGGTGTAGCAGCAGCAGCTTTTGCAGCTGTGGCGCAGGCTGTGTACCTACAGCAAGACTTACCGCAGGGTGGTGTGGTGGTGAATCCTTGGTGAATCCTCTCTATCATCAGCGTGGCGCAAGTGGCCCAAGCACTGCATTGCCTTGCAGTGTGGCATAGCATGCGTGGCAGGCCTGCAGGCAGCAGTGGCTGCAGGCTTCAGGCAGCAATGGCTGCAGGCTTCAGGCTGCAGGCTGCAGGCTGCAGGCTGCAGCTACAGTAAGGCGTACAGCAGGGTTCTCTATCATCAGCGTGGCCCAAGCACTGCATTGCCTTGCAGTGTAGCATGCGTGGCGAGCCTGCAGGCTGCAACAACAGCAAGGCGTGCAATGCGCATGCTCGTGATGGTTCAAGCAAGTCAAGCACAGTATTAGGCAGCAGCAGGATCTGCAGCTGACAGGGTTTATCATGAGTCAAGCAGGTCCAGAGGGAAGCTTATGCTTGAAAGCCTGGGGGGATTCAGCCATGCCTGGGTAATGGACCTCCCCACCTGCTGCAGTGAAGCTGTATGCTTGCCTGCAGGGTTCTGGCAAGCTGGTAGGTTGGCAGGCTCACTTGGAGACTAGTGCACACTGCACTTGCAGTTGCAGGGTTTATGAGTTTCAAGGAGTGGTTTATGAAAAATGGTTTTCTATCTTTGCTTTGTGCCTGCTTGTATTACAAGCCATGTCATTGAACCTAGAACCAGCAACTTTGTTAGTGTTGTATTTTACTGCCTTAAAACACCTTGAAAGAACTTGAATCAAAGAATCATAAACGATACAACTGTAGTACCATAACTAGTATACTTAGATACCATCCCTCAGAAACAAGCCACTGACACATCACAAGACTTCAACATTGTAAACTATTGGCTGTTCAATACCCACCTACCTCAGGCGATCACAAGACATAGGGCAGACTATGCTGCCGTGCCGTCAATATTGTCCCCCATACGTCATGTCAATCAATGTATTATACGATGGTGGTCGAATCTAACTTGCACCTCCTCCTCAGGCCGTGACACAGCTGGAATCCACCTCTTTTAGGAGAGCCTGGAAAAACCTCTTCTCGGACAGCCTTGAAACACCTTCTGGGCAGCCTTAAAACACCTCTTTCCGGGCAGCATGAAATCACCCTTTTCCAGACCAAAACAAGGGGCCGAGTGGAAAGCTAGAAGCCGCAAAGCGACCTGGCATGAGGGCAAGGCAAAAGGAAACAAGAAGTGCTTTAGGGATTTTTTTAAGGGGAGTGAAGCATGCAGCTGACACTACTCTACACAAGTCAGCCTTCAAATTATACACAGCGTGCCATGCTGTGCCATGCAGTGTCGAAGCTGTGCCATGCAATGTCGAAGCTGTGCCATGAAGTGTCGAAGCTGTGCCATGCAGTGTCGAAGCTGTGCCATACAGTGTCGAAGCTGTGCCATACAGTGTCGAAGCTGTGCCATACAGTGTCGAAGCTGTGCCATACAGTGTCGAAGCTGTGCCATACAGTGCTATCCTAGTCCACACCATGCCACGGCATGCGTACCATTCCTTCCCATGCAGGTCCCTCTCTCACTGCTGGAGTCATAGCCCGCCACAAATGCTCTCCTGTAGGCTCAATGCCACATCACACCATGCCATACCATGCCATACCATGCCATACCGTGCCATACCGTGCCATACTGTGCCATCCCAGGCCACAACACGCTGCCTACCATTGCTTCTCATGCAGGTCCCTCTCGCTGCTGGAGTAATAGCCCGCCACAAATGCCCGTCCTGGAAGAAGGAGCATTAAAAAAAAAAAAAACAAACAAAAAAACAACAAAACAAAAACAAAAAAAAGGTTAAAAAAGAGGTAGCGGACGCTTCCTTCAAACAGAAGCCTAACACATGGAAAAGCTTGCTACAAGAAACAATACTTCAGAATTGTTGGGACTTCTGACAGCTTGCCACAACAACGCTCTTGTTTTGAGGCGCCTCACGTTTTGAGGCGCCTCAAAACTCAACTTGCTACAACAACGCTCTTACTCACCAAACCTCCCCGCTCCCATAAAGGGCTCCTGTAGCTCCTCTGGCTGGCATGTGGACGCTGCCTCTTCTGCAGCCTGCGATACAGTCACACGAAGGTGAAAAAAGAAGAAGAAAACACGAGGTGATGCGGTCACATATGGTGACGTGGAGTGGAAGGTGGAGGAGAGAGGATGCATGTAATGAAGATTGAAAGGCACGGCAACCGCGGACAGGAAATCATGATCCCACTTACCCTCTGGTGTTTCAACTCCTCTAGGGGACTGAGCATGGGATCCACACACCGTCCCGCCCACACACACGTGCAACACACACACATGCCCCACGGACAGGCAACCTTTTCCACACTCACCCTCTGGTGGTCGAACTCCTCTTGAGGGCTCAACATGCGGTCCACACACCGCCCGCTGATGGCACACACGAGCATCTGGCTCTCTGCGTCCTCTAGGAGCTCCGCACAGTTGTCGTCACACACTGGGAATGAGGGGAGACGGAACAGGAAGGTGGTAGACAAAGGGCAGGCAGGGGGAACACGCGCATATGTGCCTGATGGCACACACGAGCGTCGGGCTCTCTGCGTCCTCTAGCAGCTCTGCACAGTTGTCGTCACACACTGGGAGAGTGGGGGGAAAGATAGGGATGGAGGTCGGCAGGAGGGGTAGGCAGGGGGACACAGGCAGATGTTGGCCAATAGCACACACGAGCATCTGACCCTCTGCGTCCTCTGGCAGCTCAGCGCAGTTGTCATCACACACTGGGAATGAGGGGAGAGGGGAGACTGTGAGAGCATGTAGGGGCCACAGCAACCAAGCATCTGCCTTTCACGTCCACTAACAGCCCTACACAGTAGACATCACAGTCTCACCCACTGGGAATGAGCTAGGAAAAAACGCAAGTGGTGGTGCTAAGACAGAGTAACAGCAATTGGAGCATGCACAGGCACTGACACACACGAGAGAGGGGGGATGCGCAAAAGTTGGGTCTCAATCTGGTCTTTTGGCCCTGCCCTCACTGTGAATTCCCTTTTCTATGCCACCACTTTAATTTTGTGAAAGCAAGAGGAGTTAGAGAAGGCGCGCAAGGAGTGCAGGCAGCAGGTGGATGAGCTTCAGCAAGCACTTGATGCTGCCAGTCAGGCACGCTCTGGAACAGTAGTGACCAGGCTGATAGGTGAAAGTGGATAGCTGTCACAAGCTGTTGTTGAAACAATCTTGTATGCATGTGGGGTACTTTGCCGTGCTTGACCTAAATACTGCAAATCGTTTCAACAGCTTGCAACGACCACCTACTTGCACCTATCAGATTGGCGACTCCTTTTACTGGGCACAACTGACAGCACCAAGTGCATGCTGAAGCTCGTCCACCTGCCGCCTGCACTCCTCTCCTTCTCCCATGAGCTCCACCCACACACACACCATGCGCCTGGCCTGTCTTCTCGCACATAAAAACATTCTCGATGCGGTGAAACATGCAGTTGCCCCCAGTGCATTGATGCGCTTTCCTCCACCCCCTCTAGCAGCTTGTTCTGCTGGCGCCACCCTCTAACACACACACTCATACCTTCTAGACTCGTTTCTCCAACACTCACCATGCGCCCTGCCTGTCTTCTCGCACAGGAAAACATTCTCAATGCGGTGAAACGTGCAGTTGCCCCCAGTGCACCGATGCGCTTCCTCCACCCTCTCTGGTAGCTTGTTCTGCTGGCGCCACTCCGCGACAGCTCGTGCCAGGTCAGACGTGACGTGGACCAGCTCATCGTACACCTGGTCCCTCCGCGGCACCAGGTTGCGCTTGGCAGCTTGCAGCTGGGCATAGAATCCCCGCAGGTCCTGAGGGGAGTCCGCTACAAACTCCTTCATTTCGCCCCGGTCCCTCTGCAACACACCGTGGGAATAGAAAGAAAGGGAGTAGAAAAATGGACCAGCTCATTCATCGTACACCTGGTCGCGCCTGGGCACCAGGTTGCGCTTGGGTGGTGTTTGGCTGCCTTCAACTGGGCGTAGAAGCCCCTCAGGTCCTGAGAAGAATCAGCAACAAACTCCTTCATTTCGCCTCTGTCCTTCTGAGAAAACATTGGGTGGGTTTGGGGATGGAATAAATAAGGGGCACCAGGTTACGTTTTGCTGTCTGCAGCTGCGCGTAGAAGCCTCGTAAGTCCTGAGGGGAATCGGCTACAAACTCCTTCATTTCGCCTCGCGGTCCCTCAGAGAATAGTGGGGTTCAACACAGGAATGGTTTTGTCGAGTGAAAATCATTGAAAGGCAAAAGGCCTGCTCAAACGCAAAAGGCAAAAAACGCACCTCAAAATACAGACGTTTCCAATGGCTACGTGCTTGTGCTCCTGCTGCCCCTCCTCCTCCTGCTCCTCCCCCACCTCCTCCACTTCCTTCCCCTCCTCCTCCCCCTCCCCCCATCCCGCCCGACCCGCCTCGTCCGTCCAAAACAGAGCGGGTGGAGGAGGGTGGAGGGGGGGGAGGCGGCCCCCATCGGATGCAGTATGCTCGGCGCCAGAGGTTTTCTTCAGAGGATGCGGTGCGGAGGTAGCGACACACACACGCACACACCGAGAGGTCCTGGTGGGGGGGGTGTTGGGGGAGAGGGGGGCATGCGGGTGCGCAGGGGGTAAGGGAGGGGAGTGGGGATAAGTGGGAGGAGGGGAAGGCGGCCCCCATCGGATGCAGTAGGCGCGGCGCCAAAGAGTCTCCTGCATGATGCGGATCGGAGGTAGCGACACACACACGCACACACTGACAGGTCCTGACGGGGAGAAAAGCGGGGGCACGGGGAGAGCAGGGAGTGGGGGGAGTGAGGGGCGGAGGGGGAGGGGGCCCCCATCTAATGCAGTAGGCTCGGCGCCAGAGGCTCTCCTCGGATGATGCGGTGCGGAGGTAGCGACACACACACGCACACACCGATAGGTCCTGGTGGGGAGAACAAGGGGGGTGCGGGGAGAGAGGGGGGAGTGAGGAGCAGAGGGGGAGGGGGACCCCACCGGATGCAGTAGGCGCGGCGCCAGAGGGTCCTCTCGGATGATGCGGTGCGGAGGTAGCGACACACACACGCACACACCGATAGGTCCTGAAAAAAAAGGGGGGGGGGGGGGGAGGGGAGGGGGGTGGTTGGAGCAGGGGGGTTGAGAGGCGGGAGCGGAGGCGGCCCCCATCGTATGCAGTAGGCGCAGCAACCACCGTCTTCCACATCCCTCCCCCCACCCCCCTTTTCCTCCCCACCTTTCCCCCCTCCCCCATCTCCTCCTGCGTACCTCCGCGGACAGGAATTTAAGCACGTGGTGGTAGAGCTCCGGCGGAAGCAGGTCGAGACTCCCCGTGAATTGCGGGTCCCCGAAATGAATCGCGGGCTTGGGAATCTCAATCCCCGAAGGGCCGGCAGAGCCTGTTGGCTGGCTTTCTTCGTCGCCTTCTTCGTGTTCCATCCGCCTCTTCTTCTGCGATCTGCTGTTTTCTTCGTCTCCGGAATTGCTGTCCGACTTGATATGGGGTGTCTCGTTATTGTTGTCGTCAGCCGCACAGACGTCGATATCCTGCAAATCGATACAAGGCAAGTAGCGCAAGGAAAATGAAAACAGAAATCGGAACAAAAAATATGAAGACCAAAATTAACGAATTCATAAATGACCAACAAATTTTTGTGCTACAAATTGTACAAACGGTAACTCACCCTCAAGGTTCCTCGCTTCCCTTCACCCCGTTGAAAATCTCTCTCGCCCTCGCCGTCAGATCTGTCCGCGTCATCCGCATCACCGTCCGATCCGTCTTCAAATCCCGGATCCTTGCCACAACCGTCGACTCCGTTGTCTTCATCCTCGCTATTAGATCCCTCGTCTCCATTCCAAAGGTCGTCCTCTAAGGCTTGAGCGAAGTCAGCGTCTTCGGAACTAAACGGATCCGCGTCCGCGAAATACAAGGGAACAGCGGCATCGGATAACGGATGAGTCATAGCGGAAATTTTTTGAACAAGTAGATTAAAGACCTATTTTCTAGGAGACCTAATTAGCAGGAAATTTTAGTTACTGTTGGAAGGTAAGGAGGCTGGATTGGCTTGGTGGTGAGCAATTTCTCGTTATTGTTGAACTCGGTATTATAGGACAAAGCAGATATCTATTACCAGTGACAAACTCAACAACGTTTCATTGCTTCCTGCTCGGTAAGAGCTATTCTTGCATTATTATGACATGCAACACGAACCGAACCCCCACATTCTTGGACGGCCCATCCTGATTCCGTTATAAAATACGCCCTCAACACCAAGTTCTTGGGTGAAAGGCTGGAAGACCAGCTAAACCATAGAAAGGCCGTCTTCTACGCTTGACTAGGGATCACATTCTTGTAGTCTTAGATTCCTACGCCTTGTATCGTATATTGTTTTTTTCGTGGCCTCGATACAGCCCGGCTGTACGCCACACGAACTTATCGGCCTTTCGAGCTCAGCTCAACAACACCGATTTTCACGATTTTTTTAGGAAGGAAATTGTCGAATCTCGCGTCTTTGTTAAAACGAGGTCAGATCTCGCCTTATACGCCGTGCGGTGCGGCGCTCGATTCGACTCGACTGACAAGTTGCTCGTTGGAGTCGCTTTTCATTGCTCGTAGCGATCGACTCCACTTCGACGCGCGGCTCCTCGTGAAACCTCGTGAAATCTCGTCCCGTCGTGTTCTGGGATTACCCAGCCCGGATTTAGTGTGACAGCTGTCGGCCGTCGCCTACCCCCCGATTATTACCTTACCATAACTCTTGGTTATACCGGTAGCACATACCAGCACGTACCACTAGGGTACTACCACGTACCAGAACGTACCAGTACGCACCAGTACGCACCAGTACGTACCAGCGCATACAAGCAGCCATGGATCGGTGCATGAACCGGGTCGTCGCTGGAGTCGCCGTCGGCGGCGCAGTTGGCGGCGCGATTGGTGAGAAGCCACTCTTCTCTTCTCTTCGCTTCACTTCCTTGCTCTTATTCCCTCCCTTTTTCTCGTCTCTTCTCTTGCCTTCTCTTTCCTTACCTCTTGTCTCAAATCTCCTCGCGTTTCTCCTCTCGATTCCGTGCAGGAGCCATGTACGAGACATACAAATCGTTCAGATTTAAAGGTTCTTCTCCTCTCTTCACTTCTCTTCATTTGTCTTCCTCTTGCCTCATATCTCCTCGCCCTTCTCCTTGCAGGAGCCATGTACGGGACATACGAAGCGTTCAGATACAAGGTACGTCACTAGCAAGGTATTTGTTTTCAATGTGACTTAAATATGTGATACGAAGCACATTATATGGGGGATAAACTCTATATGGGGGAGGAAATCCACATAGCGGATAACTTCATATGGGGGATAAATGAAGCGTCATGGGGCCCAGTCTGTGACCTGCGCCATAATATAAGAGCCAAGCCGTGCTCCTTCCCGGTCAGCTCCTTGCACCTTCCACATTCTCCTCTCTCACTTTCCCTGCTTCCATTCGAGTGTGCCCTTTTCACTCCCCCCACCCCACTCTCATCCTCCAACCCGCACTCAACCCCTTCTCATCCCTCTCCCCTCAACCTCCCTCCCCGCTGTCCACATCTTCTATTCTCCCATTCTTCATTTTTCACTATCCCCTTCTCTGGACGTTCCATTTAGGCTGATAACACAATAGCACTGGCACCCTGTAACTGAATTTCCAGACATCTCAAACTTGGATAGCATAGCAGTCTGCAGCCACATTGCATCTTTTCTCATGTCCCGCTGTTCCTTTGTATTCCGTCCCACTGCCGAACCTACCAGGTTCCGGGCCTTCTCAAGGTTCGGTACATAGGCCAGACCACATTGGGGAGTGCAGCTGTGTTCGGTTTGTTCCTAGGTGCAGGCAGTCTGATTCACTGCGGCAAATCATACTAAAAAAAATAAAAATTACCTACCGTAAATTACTTCCTAAGGAACATATCCTGCTGCCTTAGATGTTGCTGATACAATTTTGCACATGTTTTGCACTAATGTAGGCCTATGTCTACACTATCCTCGTTATAACAGCAACCTGCATAGTGTTGGGGTGTGTGAGGGATGGGTGATACCGTATCATCATGCCAAGCTGATGTGCCCTGTGTTGGAGAATCGAGTCTCTGCCGCCCCAGCCCTTTGCACACAAGGAGCAGCAAGAATGTCGGCGACGGATTGAAGGCTTCGCGAAAATTCAGAAACTTCCGCAGCAAATCAGATCGCAGCCGAAGACTCGATACAGTTCGGGATTGCTCTCAAACAGAAGGGTCGACAGTTTCTACAGGTTTCTACAAAACAGAATCAGCTATAACAGTACATCCCAGAGATTTCTTGTTCATGCACCTCATGTGGCTCTCAAGTCACTCAAGGTTCATGGAATCTGAATTGTGCCCAAGTTCCCAAGGATGTTGCCTTGTCTAGCAGCCTAGTTTGAGCTATCAATCTGCATGTTTGTAATGCTTAAGAAGTTGTGCTTTAGTGGGCTTGTTAATCTTGATCATAGTGAAGTTTTCTCTCATCAAGCCAAGTCCAGCAGCTCTGTTGAGCTTTTCCAGCCAAGTTTCCAGCCTACCAGTCATCAAAGCTACTCTGTTTTGCAAGTTGGTATCAGAGCCCGTCGTTTCGATCAACCGAGCGCCACCAACTTCCTATCCTAGCACAATCCATCCATGGCGGGAGACAACCCATCCGGCCCTGCACTCCAGCCAGACGGAGGAGCTTCAGATTCAACATCAGGACAGGAGCTACTGGATTAGTAGAAGCAGTTGCACCAGGCAGTTCTTCAACTACATACTCACCACTCACCTCCTTCATGCCTAAGCTTCACCTCCCCAAGTTCAACGGCAAAGATTTTCCAACATGGACAACTCAGTTTGAGCTCACTGCATCCCTTCTGGATCTCTGGCCTTACTACACTGGAGAAGCAGCCAAACCAGCAGCAGATGCTTCAGAAGCTGAAAAACGACTCTACGAACGGCGCAACAAGGAGGCCTTCCTCTACCTACTCAATAGCATTCACGAGCAGCAGTTGAAGTCGCTCCTACCCTGCTCTACAAAGGCAAACAGCGCAGAGGAAGCATGGAGCCGACTGAAGTCTATGCACCAGTCAAAATCCGAGAGCAGCCAGGCCGAGATATGGAGCCGCTTCATGAGTCTCAAGATGGAAGAAGAAGAACCAGCCCAAACCTACCTTCAACGAGCTGAAACGATGCTAGAGGAAGCAGCCGCGATCGGCTTGGAGATTCCAGAGTCTCTTTTCAAGACCGTCATCTTCACCGGCCTTACACCGGAGTGGGACACTTTCCGTGCAACACTACAAGCACTTCCGCAATCAATGAAGACCCGTGCGTTCATCTTCGAAGCCCTTGTCAACGAGCAGCAAAGTCGAGACCTTGCACGAAACAAGCGGAGTGACGAGGGTGCGTGGAGTGCTGCAGCAGCTACAAGATATGGCAACCAATCCCAGAGGCAAGGAAATTTCAGCCCAAACCGCCCTCAACCTTACTATGGTACGAATTTTCAGTCACCTTCCAACCCATACAAACCCTCTCGTTTTGCTCAGTCAAGTCCTCCCTATAAGTCAAGTCCCTATGTCCAGCCAAGGCCTTCTATTCCCAATCAATATCAGCCTAGGAATGCACGAGTCTATACGCCAAGAGTCAATAATTTCAGCCAAGCCTCAAATGCTAAAAAGTTTAATTTCGAGTGTTTTTGTTGTCATGAGTGGGGTCATCCGTGGTATGCTTGTCCTAAGAAGCCTCCTAATTGGGTTCCCCCACCTCAGCTACTATACGAAAAGGGTAAGGCAGCCATAGCAAACATGGCAAGTCATTCTACAAGTCAGAATGAGTCCAAAGATTCTGAAGGTCCTGTCCTTTTCAACGCCGCCACTTGCATGCACGTTTTTTCTACTAGTAGTGAGGAGTTTATCCTTGATAGTGGCTGTTCTGAAACCATGACTCCCTATCAGTCCATTCTCAAGGATTTTCAGCCCTCATATGACTCAAAAGCTGTGACACTTGCTGATCTTGGCAAAGTACCTATCAAAGGAGTCGGCAAGCTTGAGTTCGAAAAGGATGGTAAGTCATTTTGTGTCAATAAAGCTTTGTTCGTTCCTGATTTGGGAGCAAACTTGCTCTCAGCTGGACAACTTGAAGAGAAAGGTGCTTCTGTACTCTT